TTTTAACCCCCCCCCCACCCGCAGTTTTATATTTTTATCTTCATTTTTTTTCATCCCATGTCGAATTTTAACGTCTTCCGTGTCAAAACTAATATTCGTATTTCTCGCAGTTTCCATACGACACCTTACTAACCCCAACAGACCCAACTCATTTGACAGTTGACAGCCGAGAAAAAAGGATAGCATGAATTACCTGGAAATTAAAAAAATATAAATAAAAAAATCTCACAGGCGCCACGAGCGAGAACTCGTGCGATCCTTTCTGGACTCCGAAGAGTTTTGATATATGACTCAATAAAAGGGGACCCAGGACGGGCCCCGCGAGTAAATATCAAACGTAAAATGTTCACCTCGTTAAGTTGGGCCCACGGACCATCAAGCCCGGAGACACGCGTACAAATTTTCAAAGATCCCAATGCCAATTAACGTACCTCGTAATTAATCAGACATATACATATATGTGTATATGGTCATATTTGTAAATAAAACTTGATGCCGTATATATAACTATATATAACCTTGTTTGCAACCACCTGTCTCATAAAAAAAAAATAATAATTTTAGATGACCATACGTGCCATACGTGTTATTTCGATTTACCTAAGAGTCGGCCAATTTTCATCATCCTAAACGACGGAATGCGGTTGCAATCAGCCGCGACGCTTAACGCCGCGCGGTCGCAAAGTTGCGCGGCCGTAAATACTTATTGCTCGTAAAACGTGTTCAGTAACTTCTTAAAGAGGATTCAAAAAGTAACGAGTCGTCCCTTTTCAATACGATTTACATAGCTTTACGAACCCCTTTGTATATTACTTGTTTATGCCCGGTCCTCATTGGCGGGAAATATTCATACAGGTATACTTGGTCTGTACGTGCGACAGAATCTACTTGCGGGTAGTAGGAAGACAGTGTCGACATCTGGGAGACGATGACGCTCAAGTGTCTTCGTTGTATCCTTCTACAAGATTTATGTATTTTATGATAAAAAAAAAATAGTCGTGGGCGGGAAATTGAAAGTATACAGAAAGTACGAAGTAATGAGTGAGATTGTGGAGAATGAGAAAAAAATATAGAAAAAAAATTTGAAAAATATATAATATCCCTGTACATTCAATATAACGTAATTCAATGCCTACATTATTCATGAAAATCGAGTAATCATGGTTACCAATGGCTCCCTGCTCTTTTTACGAGACTTTCGAGACAGAGCGTTGCGATTCTCCTCGGTCGGTACAAACAAATAATTAATTAATTTACCATAGGCGGAAGTCGTACGAACTTCTTGCAGTCCCGCAAAGACTTCACGACTGTGAATTTCAGGTAATCAGATAAATTTAAAAAAAAAACGGACAGTTACAATTTTCCGTGAAACTAGATTCTTCCGTTAAACAAAAATGTCCCTAGATCACTACCCAGACACCGCAAGGACGTCATTAAGAAATCCCATAGACATTTTCACTGGGTATTCGGAAGTCCTATGAATGTCCTCATAAGGTCTCCGGCCTTCCTCTGAATATCCCGAGGAGGTGCAAATGTCCGCATATTCATGATCCTCCGGACATCCTGGAGGAAACCCACTGGACATGTTTAGACGTTTTATGGGATTTTTACAGGAGGTTTTTATATCTGCCCTAGAGAAGCATTTCTTTCACATGTCTAGCTGTGCATGCATTATGAATATATCGCGTACAAACTCCAAGTTGAGTTAGAAGACCGTAAGTATACAGGGTGAGTTATCCTAGACTTTGAATCTGAGAGAAGTCTCTCTACGTATTGGGCGCGTTATTCTCTATCGGATTAGTCCCACCGTCCGCTTAAAGTGTTATACCGTATATTAATTCTAATTTAATGTATATTCCGTATTCGAACCACAATGCGGTTATTAGATTCAGTCC